CTTGAGAAATGTTCAAAAACCGAGAAATCGGCATTATTATTGCAAAATCTGGATTCACGTTCGTACATATCGAGCATCTTTCTTGACCGGCACGATCGAGCAGAAACGGTCCGATTATCCCTACTGTGACTCGTGAAACTTGACTCTTAGCAGGTGCAATCGGTGGGTCCACGGAGCCGAAGCTAGAATCCGATCGATCCAGTGAATCGAGGATAACGTTCGCCAGGGGGTTGTCGAACGAGAACGAGCCAAGTGAAGACACCTACGAGTCGAAAGACTTGCACAGCCAAGCGTCCAACCTGATCAGGACCATCTCCGAGGAGTCCTTACCTCGCGAGATGCTCGAGGAGGAGGAGCTGGACGATTTCTTCGACGAGAAGCTGGCCAAAGACGTTCACAACAACTTGAAGAAGAACTTGGACGACTGGAAGACGAAGACACCGCCTCCCAGTCCCGAACCCAAGATGAAGCCCGGCAACACGGACTCCGATCATTCGACTTTGTTGAAGGTTCTCAAGGAAGAGACTGCTGAGGAGAGTAACCTAAGCTCGATGACACCGAGTCTGACGGAGTTGGAAGCCGCTCTGTCGGACATGTTGGAGAAGGAAGACTCGCAGGAGGGATCCAAAGACGAAACTAAATCGAGCTTAACGAATGAACAATTGATTGTAAAGATGGTAGAACCCGGGGCACGGAGTAGTTCAGACAGTTGCATTAGCAATGAACGTCCAGGAGACGATGAAGTCGTGCATGAAATCCCAACGTTTTTGAAACAGATCCTCGAAGAGAAGAAACTTCCGTTGAGAAAGGTTTCGTTTTGCGCTTGGGAGGAGTCCGTGGATGCTCGCAACGATCAAGCATCAATCGATCAGGCTGATCATTCGCTGATGGACGAAACGACGAGTGTCCCTCGGTTGGACAAGGACCGAGGAGTGGACAACAAGGGCTTTTCCTTGGACGTTCCGCCGGAGAAACCGAGCAGATTGAACAGGAGTTTCGATGATCTCGTAGAGGACGCGGAGGTTGTTCCAATTCCCCCTCGAAGGAGAAACAGAAGCCTCGGCACGGCCAAGAAGGAGCCTGAAGTGGCGCAAAACGGCACGGTCTCCAAACACTTCTCCAATGACAGACTTATTTAATTGTCCTAAGTGATGATCTCTGAGAGATGTTTCTAGTGGATGTAGTTACTGTTGATGGAACCGATGTAGTATGGTTGCAGATCGAAGCGTTAAGTGGCTGCGCTGATTGATGTACACTAGCCGGCGATCGGACGAAACTGTTGACTTTTGCGAGTAGAACTCCATTTGTATGAACTTGTTTATACAGTGTGTCTCACAATCAGTGCCTCAGGACGGACGTTGCGACCGAGTAGTAGTAAAAGCGAGTTGAAAAGAATTTTTTTCTTTAAAGCGTACGGGTTTGAAAAGATCGAATTTGAAAATTGATCAATATTATATCATTATTAGTATTGTATTGTTATTAATTATATATTGATTATTTATTATATATTGAATTAATACATATATAGAATATATTATTAATAATTGAATTATATATTAACTATATATTGAATTTATCTAATTCTAGTCGCGACGAAGAGGAATAATTAACAGGAGATTTACTCTATGTAAAGAGCGTGGAATAAAATTTTTCGAGAAAATCGAATTTGAAAATTTATCAAGTACACTAGGGCAATTTTCAGTGAGACATGTTGAAAATCTGTTTTCTTGAAAATGATGACCTTAAACGAATTAAAATTTTACTCTACGTTTCTATCAAATTATAATTTGATAAATTTTCAATTTGGTAAATAAAATTTCGACTTTAGTGAAAAAATTTTATTCTTCCTTTTTTCGACTCATTTTTTTCACGTAGAATCACCTCTTACTCGATTGCACGCGTCCTAAGATACTCTGTATAATTATAGTTCATACATCAGCAGTTCACTGATTCTCTTCTCTATTATTGATTTTTCGTTCACATAATAAAAGTTCAGGTCCGAACATTGATTAAAATTAAATATTAAAACAAACAAAGTTCTACTGTAAAAGTTATTTATCGATCTATTGTATCCTTGATATCACTTCAAGTTTACGTAGTATATGAATATCTTGTCTTTGTTGCAACGATAAAGTTTTAGCAATTATTTCCCATTTGAACTTGTTGGGACTTCCGGTGGATTATTTTAGATCAAAATGTCTGAGGGATATTTTTTATAAATTAACATTGAAAACAAGATACATATATACAATTGGTTCAATTTATCAATTTTAAGAAGAGTGTTAAAATGAAATTAGTGCTGGTGGAAGGAAATGAAATTACGAGTAGGCGAATGAGATATTGCAATTGTGACGTGTGCAGTGACTGAACATCAATGAATATATTATTTATGTATATTTCTTTGTACGTGCATGTTGTTACGTACACCGAATAGATTTCAGCCGAGTGTCGTCGGTCCCCGATCGATATTGATTTAATCCAGTGGTCAGTCTTTCGCGAGATTTTTCAGCGAACGGACCACCCAGATAATCACGCAATTTATATGCATACATATAAAATGTTGATTATATTGATTTTCTGTAAACAAATGAGCCTTTCCGCGGATTTCAGGGAGAGAAACAACGCTCGTAATATGCTGGCCGTGTTATCACGTTCGTACAATATTCCAATATTCTTTCGTCGCTCGAGACTTCATTTCTGAAAAATACCGAGCCGAAATCTATCAAATGCGCTCACGAATTATGTGTAGTCGTACCGATATTTTGAATAAATATATATATATATATATAGCAGGGCAGGAGTGGATAGTGTGATACAAATTTGCAATAACGTCTCTTGGAAGATGCACACCTAGCAACATTTAAACCTGATTCTTCGAGGTCTTCAATTTCAATCGAAATAGAAGCTGTGTTAAGTTGTTCACACCAGAAATGGTCAACTTTTTAACAAGTTAACGATATTCATGATGTAAAAAAAAAAAAAAAAACAATACTACAATCATGACGTTTGTATTTGCTTCTCTTACAATTAATATAAATTTCTCGCGAATTTGTATTAACTTTTACTTTGCCAGATCGAAGTTTCAAATTCTTTTGCAAAAAAGATGCATTCCGAATTCAGTGTCATATCTTTATTTTATCATAAATTAATTTCGATTGATAGAACATCAAAGTAATATTAATAATAATAATAATAATCGCCTCGAACCTGAAGCTGATACCTAAATATCATTTCACAACGCTTTCGATCAACTTGACTAATTTTACGTTTCGTGATATCGACCGTTTGATATGCAACAACCTAATACAAGCAAACAGGAGATTATTCTGCGAGCAAACATAAACGGAGAAAATGCATTGCAAACCTATGGAACGCACAGTGATTTCAACCTAAATAAACTTCAACCCCCGACCGATTTTACCGACCCCGGTGTATCAGTTCTGCCAACAATAAATGCAAGATTATTTGTTCGGGGCAAACATTTTGGCAAAGCACCGTACAACAGGGACGAAAACGGCGAAGATGGACTCGTTAATCGAACAAATTGTGTCACATACGTGCACCGCTCGACGACGTTGAACGATTATAAATAATTTCACGTGTTTTGTTGTTGTTGTTGTTGTTGTTGTTGTTGCTGCTGTAACGTGGATCGTGTAATAAAGATCAAGCTATTCTCTCGTTCGATTTATTTCGCCAGTTGCGGTTCGTCTCCGACGGGAAATCCTTCGTCCGTCGCTAGTCTTGTGTGGGAAACTTTCTAACGAACTTGCCGCTTTCGAGGAAACGACGTCGTCCTTCGAAAATCGCGGAACTTCGTTCGCAAAGTTTCCGATCAATGGGATCGCAGGTGTTCGCGCCTTATTGTTGCTCGTAATACTCGTCAGATTGTTTGATGAAAGTCGATGAACAAGCTGTCGCCAAGCAGTTCGTCTCGAACTGTATCGTAAATGATGCAATTGCTCTCATTTCTCGGCCGATGCTTGATAAAAAATTGTTGCCGGCATCTTTTTCAATTTTGCGATTTCCATGCGAGGCACACAATTCGAGACGCACAGGTAAGATAAATGAAGTTACTCCTTCGAGAAGGAATTCCTAAGTTTCGAGGTTTGCGAAGATCGTGTTCAGCGACCGAGTAGAATTTCGACGGAAATCTTCTCTTCGAGAGGAGGAATTTAAAATTCCGTTGCAATCAGTAAGCGCGACAAGGGATAACACGCACCGTGGTGTGTGTATGTATACGGCACGAGAAGTGTGCAGAAAAATATACAAAGCTTTGCGGCAAATTCCATCACTCGCGAAACTCCATCAACCGACGCGCTTCCTAAAACGAGTTTCCACAACCGGTCCATCAAAAATTTCCACCAAACAACAAACGAATCCGAGTTAACACGGATTCCGCATTCCGCAACTCCTCCGAGCCGAATTGCTTTCGTTCGAAAAAAAAAAAAGAAGAAAAAAAAACAAAGAAAAAAGAAGAAGAAATTTATCGAAATTCCTCTCAAACCTAATTCCTCTAAAAAATCTAGAAAAAGGACTTTTTCACAAATTGCGGTATTTTGAGGTGGTATTGTAATTCTATTGAAGAAAAACGTTTAAACGCAAATGGTAATTAATAGCCTTCGGCGTGTTGTATAATGATTTCGTGTCAATGTTAACCTACATGCTACTGTGCACATATAGTAAATTATTTAGGGAAATACAACACTGATCGATTTGTTTGATTTCGATAGAATTCCAATTGATGATAATTATTTGTAAATACAGGATTCTTCCTCGCAGTATTGAAAGAAAGAAATCGCCCTAATTTCTTTGAATCTGCGTTTAAGAAAGGAATGTATAATTTTCATAATAACGAAAAAATATGTAGTAATATAATAGTAATTATATTATATTTAATAATAATTCAGTATTGATATTTAATATTTAATATCACCGATATATCTATTATTTTCTTGTTTCGTTGCAATTGAACCGTGGATTTTTAAAAATCAACTTTAGATAGGAAATTGTTTCACTTACACATGCAAGCATAAACAGCATTTTAATACGATTAATCGAAACCTCTTAAATATTTTAAACATTGTGTGTACGAAACTCAGTAGTTTAACTACACGGTCGATTAATTAATCAACGAAATAAGAGAATAATGAATATTCCAATCAGAATGAATTGCAACTCTTTTTAACAAACTACGTCTGCTTACAAACATCGTACAACTTCGACGATGTCGTAAAATGTCACTAGTGATGCAAATGGATTCCTCATCTTCAAAATATCCGAGATTTTTCCTCGACTAAGCTCGCGCTGTTATTCCACCAGGAATAATTAGCAGAGTTGTCTTTCGCCGCAGTGATACGAACACTTAACTCTCTCCTAGTCTCGAACGAGATTAATCTCGCCGGAGGGTTGGAAATGGGTGGTGTGACCGTGGTCCCTTTCTCTCGTCTCAAGATGGCGAGAAACCTGCTCCTTCCAGCCGGGGTCCAATCACGTTCCGCTTTTTCTTCGGAACAAGTTGCTTCCTGAATGCCAAACGCTGACCCCGAAGAATCGACGAAGCCACGTTCGTCCTTGCCACGGTGGTTGGTATATATATATATTGGCGACAAGCATTTGATCGAAATAACGCGGAATTCACACACACACACACACACACACACATTGTGGAGTTCCCTTACTCTTACGTTTTTGTTTCTTTTTTCCGACGATAAAATTATTTTTAGCGGTTTCGGAAGTTTCGGAGCCGAATTTTGGAAGATTTTCGGGATGAGATGGAGATATTAATCCCTTGCCTTGCGAGCAATCTTCTCGATCTTGGATACAGAGATGGAGGTATTCGGTCACTCAACCGATAAATGGTCGATACTTGAAGCTGTTTAAACTTTGTTCAAACGAGCTCGCGTAACGATACTGGTTGATTAAATTATTTTGTTATTTCATGTAAAATATTTCGCTTTGCTTATTACGCGAATCTTACGAACAGAGGAAATGAACGAATGCAAGCTTCAAAAATTAAGTCGATTTATTATTAAAATTAAAACGTATTATTATAAAATTATAAATATAAATTATGAAATTAAAAAATGAGATTATAAATATTATAATATTTATTATAATTAATTATAAAATTAAACATAAC